TTCGAGGATTATCGAGGTTTGCCGAGAGTACCGCCTACCTCTCGTCCTAACCTTCGTTTGCAGACTAATGCCATATTGTCAGCGCTCGTTGACCAAAGGGTGGACCCATCTGACGTGATGACATTGGCCAACTGCTACAAGAATTGCTCTGCAACGGTACGGCCTTTCCATCGCCCCCCTGACATACCAATTTCAAAGGGGATTCGACAAGACGACACCGTCTCGCCAAAGCTGTTTACCGCCGCCTTGCAGTGGGTGATGAAATCACTGGATTGGAAAAGGAGAGGTGTACGAATTGAGAGGATTCCTCTCAACCCTTCGTTCTGAGGACGACATTGTTCTCTCCTCGAGGAATGTCACTAAGCGGGGACGATGTTGAAAGAACTAAACGAAGTAGGGAAACGGATAGCACTGCGAATTGGCCGGAAGAAGAACTCACTTTATGAAGAACGCTTTTTGCAAGGATCAAGAAATGGAATTAGAAGGCTCTTCAATCGAGGAGACGTCTTACTATGTCTCGTTCGTTCGACGAACATGGAGGACGATCTGAGGAACTAAATAAGAGGCAAAGAGCAGCTTGGGCCACCTTCGGGCTTCTAAGAGAAGCCACAGACCTGCTGGACCCAGAGCTCCGAGACCACCTGTTCGATCTGTTCCCCTGCGCTACGTTATGCAACAGAAACGTGGCCTGACACTGTGGCTACGTCGAAGCCTCTCGGAACGACCCACAGAGCGCTGGAACGATGTTTGAAGTACAACCGACGCACTCAACCCATCGATGCTTTGCCTTAGATTCCCTGGATCGCGAAGACGAGACATTGATCTCATATCTGAACTGCGATGTTCGACGAGATATGAGCCCTCGTGAAGCAAAACGTCCTCGAGAGAGGCCACCGACTAGATCAGCTGATGTGTTCATTACACGGATGGAAGCTGAATTCTCAGCTGCTAACGAGTAATGGATCTGGACCTCGCGAACGTTGTCGCCGCAGTTCAACATCAACATCGTGGATGACTCTAGCGAGAAACAGAAATGGATGGAAAGTGCTGTGGCTTGCGCGACGAGTGAAGACAGGCCATCTAAGTGTCTAATTAAGCATTTTGCTATATACACATCCCGAAAAGACCTTGCCTACTATCTGACCATTTATAATTCTTTTCAAAATATTTCTTTATGTCGTGATCCAACCTGAACTAAATTTCCACTTAATTCTGGGCTTCTGAAGATACTATACAAGGATTACGGTGCGTAAGCTTTATCGTTGTCTGCAGCACTGAACACACCCTTGTCTACGGTAATCTGTATAGTTGAGGTCAGGGTGTCAGACTTGTTAGGCGTTCTTGATACTTTTAAGATTCTATAATGCTTGTCGACAGAGC